TGATCGACCTGAAAACTTCGAGCAAAAAGATGACACTTTCAACAATATCCTGACAGATATCAGAGACGATACAGGTTTTTCCTCTCTTTTCCCCTGGAATACTTTTAATTGATTATTCTTTGTTTATCTAGATGTCTCAGAGCACTATGAACGAACTCAGCTTGTATGTTTGAAATAATCGTCCAGATGGCTTAAAAATGATGATCGATGACATTTCCCATATAATTTTACTTTCAAAATTATGATATATCTTTTATTTCTAAGCCATCTATGACGCGATTTTTTTCAGTTTTGTTATAATTAATTTTGTCTCTTGATCTACTTGTAACATTATTCTTTTAATTTTATTAATTTATTGTGGTGTGGTAATTAATTTCTGTTGTATATTTGATATTGATATTAAACATATTTTTAAAAAATGGTGTATTTTTTGTGTTTTTGTGTATGTCATAATTAAAAATAATTGAAGAGATAAAATTTTTTTATTTTTTTAAACTTCCCGCCATGCGTGACAATTTAGTCCGTAGTTCCTACAAGCGAAATTGGGGGCGCTAGTAGCAGTAGACTTGTCAACAGTGTCAAATTTAAACGTCAATTTCACTTCCCAATATTTAGCAAGGCGCTCGCACTTCTTCTTGTGTATGTGTTTTATGGTCAGACAGTTCAGTGCTGTTTTTGTTTTTATAAAAAAAACTTAATTAAAATGGGACGTAAGAAAGGCACATATAAAACTAAATTTAAATATACATCGACATATTACCGATACTTTATCCACTCCCTCGTTTATTTAGAATACCTATAGGGGGCGGCACAAGCTAGGCCCTAGGATGACTAAATTAGGCAATCTTGCGACTAGTATACTACCTGTTAAGGCTGAACTGCGATTTTATTAGTCCAGGTATGCGACTACTCGAACTACTCCATCTTAATCTCCAAAACAGCAAAGTGAAAGCCGCCATGTTGTTGAATAAGAAAACGTTTCATTCCTAAAATAGCAATTCCTGCTTTTTGAATACATTAACTTGAAATATTTGACCCTAAACAACACGCGGAAACAATTTTTTTTCGACTGCGAATAAATTATTCTCATTTTACTAAAAAAAAAATTTCAAGAAACTTTTTAAACCTTCTTTAATTTTAAGGCCAATTAGTATTTTTCAAAGTAGAAACAATACATTTATCAATAAAGTTGTTTGTGTTTAACTTTTTTGTCTTGGGTAACGAGTTACAGAGTTGGTTAAAGTTAATAATAATGATCTTCAAACATCTTCCACACTTAAATACTTTTGTTTTGTTTTCCTTTACTGCCATCTGGCATATGTCACTAACTAAATCATAAAAATAATATTTTTACTATAATTATCCCAATTTAGGATAAAAGGCGACTTAGACGCCATATTATTATAGTTTTGTATTTCTGTGAATTAGGATTTTAAACAATGTTGTAGTTTGTACTAAATTAGGCTGCTAGCCAACGTAGGTATCCAACGTCGTTTCGACCCAAAAATTATTCTCCATACTAGTGCAGACGAGGTTGTGCCGAGGTTGGCACGAGGTTGTGCCGACGTTGCGCCCCGACGTTTGGTCGCGTGACACAACGTTGTCCCGACGCGCGACGTCGAAATGTTGCTTGGGCCCCTATATCTTTTTTATTTTTTCAGATAAAACAACGAGATTTGGTATGTTAGAATATGACATAAATTTGGATTGATTGACATATTCAATTGTTTTCTTGTCACTTCCAGTCATTTTCGCATATGGTTTATTATTTGAAATTATAACATGCGGTTCATAACGACAATTTGACTCGAAATACCAATTGTGTGATATCAAATTATTCATAAAAAAATGCCTTTTCAAAATATGCTAATGAGCCACCCTCGTTCCATTTGAAAAAATTGAGATATGATTAAAAATACGATTTGGGCATCTATTAATCGACCAGGACAAGACACTAAAAACATTAGACGATCAAATCTATTTTCCAAGGCTCCTTGACTAACACAATCATGGCACTCTAGATTGAAGTTTAAAATACAATTTGTTTTTATGCGGATATGTCCGAAGTGGATATTTGATATGTCATTCGATTCAGAGTGTCATTTTCAATCGAATAAAGTAAAAAAATACGTAGTCATTTTCAAAAGTTGTAGTCATTTCCGGTGAAACAGCAAGTGACCGAGAACAATTGAATATGTCAATCAATCCCAATTTATGTCATATACTAACGTACCAAATCTCGTTTTTTTATCTGAAGAAATAAAAAAGTTATAGGGGTGAGCCACTTTTGAAACGCACTCGGTATATAAAACTTTAAAAATTCATCAGAATTTTAAGATGGCGTTTTTCGTGCCGGTGGGTGTATTTCGGATTCAAAACGGTGCCGGTGTGTAAAATGACTTCTAATGGAACTATAATTTTAGAAGTAATATTAATTGGATTTTTTTTTGTACAAAAAAATTTAACTCTTAAATTTATATAGAATATATTATTACCGGACTGTGGGTGTTGTTGGACTGAGTCACTAAAAATAATGAGAAAGCTATATGAGTATTGTATAGGGGAATTCCTTAAATTAGAAAATCCATATATCTCAAAGGTCTGAGTTCTTGTGTTGCGTGTTGGAAAATTTTCTATATCCATAGATCCAAGTTCTGGTCAATACTAGGGCGATATATGTTGACCCTCGACTGGCTTCGTAACACAGCGGCTAATTTCCATTTTATCAGATAAACCTTCCATAGTTCTCTGTTTATTGTTGTAAATTTCATTTTATCTGGCTAGAATTATAAAGCTAAAGACGATTCAAGGTTAGCTGAATCATAAAAGTAATTAAAAGATCTGAAGAGAATAATTTATTATATTTGTTATTTGAGTACGATTTTTATCAGTTTACTGCATTTTTTCAGTAATTTTCATAAATATAGTGTTTTTTATTATTTTGTTTATAGAGTTTTATATCAGTGTGAACCAATAAAGATAATATAAAATAAATAAAATAATCAATTTTATTTATTAATTAATTACTGTTATTTGGTTTATAATTAGATAACATTTGTAGGATTTAAAAAAACATTGTTTTTAGTTTGTAAAATTTGAAAAAGTATCCATTTTAACCGTAACAAACATACCGGGTGTTTTTCAAAAGTTGCTCATCCCTATAATTTTTTTTCCAGAGTACGACATAAATCGAGATTGATTGATGTATTCAATTAGTCTCTGTCACTTTCGGTTCCATCGAAAATGACTACAACTTTTGATTTTTAGTTTATTGGATAGAAAATCACACTTTGAATAGAATAACATATTATATGTCAACATTTCACATTCTCGCTTGAAACAAAAAAAAATTGTGTGTGCACTATGTGCCAATATTTGAACTGAAACTTCTTACTTTCATCTGTCTGTCTGTCCATCTGCCCGTCTCTCTGTCTGACTCCATTCGGGTACCTCTATCCACGTGACGAGTTTGGTTCCAATCGACCCATAATTAAGACAAATCCTGATGATTTCATCCATTTAGAGGCATCAGTTCGAAACGTCGAGGGCGTCATTCTGTAGCCCGTCCCCAATTATGCCGAAATCGACCCACATTATTCTTCAATATCAAATCGTTAGTCCCATCCTGATGAAGATGTAAACGAAACGTCGATCAAAATTTGATCGCGATCGGATGACATCAACTTTTGACGTTTATGACGTCAAAACTGTCACAGTGATACGTGTCGTACACAGTCAAATTGGCTTTGGTCCGATATATCGACCGAGGGGTGTCTCACTATTGGAATTACATGTACATTTTCTTGGCAGTCACTGGTAGTCATTGGCAGTCTTATGGCAGTCATTGGCAGTCTTACGGCAGTCGCCTATAATAATTACATGGCAGTCATAGGCAGTCTTCTTCATAGTCATTGGCAGTCGCTTAGCAGTGGAAGGATATTTTGGCAGTACGTGTACATTTTTTACCCGAGTGAGACACCCCTCGATATCGACATACCAAATTCCATTTAAATCGGACGATTTTTTGATTTGAATCATTGATGGTTGGGTTTTGTAGGGCACGAAACGTCGTCAAAATATACTGAAAAGATGGGGCCACATTCTGAGTTTCAGTTTCCTAGCTCACATAGGGCTTGAGTTACGACGCTCCGTCTTAATCTCCCATCGTTACCACTTTTCCTGACGCCTCTCGTGTGTCACGGCCGTGAATTTTTACTCCCATCGCGCGTTTCACTTCAAAAATCGTATTTTAAATCTTAATCTAGAGTGCCATGGCTGTGTTAAAATAACTAATTTTTAATGAGGGTACCTTGGAATAATAGATTGATATAGGGAAATTCAAATAACTTTCGTTGCACATCATAATACGACCACCAGCAAACTCTATAAGACGACGCATGGTGTCATTGATGACGTGCAACGAAAGTTGTTCCAATTCCCCTTATAGTTTGTTTTTCGTGTCATTTCCTTGACGGTCAAAAGATGCTTCAATCGTATTTTTAAACATAATTTAATTCTTTCAAATGGAATAAGGGTGGTTGTTAGCATATTTGGAAAAATATTTTCTACGAATAATTTGGTACCACATACTTGGTAGGTATGTTGAGTCAAATTGTTGTTTTATTTGTTGTCGTGCCACTCTAGACTCTAGACTGTAATTTAAAATCCTTTCTTTTAATCGAAAGTGTCACAAGTTGACATTAGATTTTTTCATTTAATCTAGAATGCCATTTTCAATTAAATAAATATATAATACCATTTAAAAATAAAAGGATATATTTTTTTTTTCGGCGAAACAGGAAGCGACAAAAACTAATTGAATACGTCAATCAGATCTGGTTTAAGTCATATTATTAAGATATCAAATCTCATTCTTTTATTTGAAAAAATAATATAGTTGTAGGGGAGAACCACTTTGGTACACTCGGTATTTTATGTAAAAATCGTATTTCCCTGCATTCCAGCAAACTATTAGTGAAAGGTTAAATGTTAAACAATATTTCTTTTATTTTTTCAGCAACAAATTTTACAATAAAATAGATATAAATAAAAATTTTATACATTAAAAGTGCGTTCTCTAATAGTTCTTCAAAAATATCTAAAATAATATATTGTTAAAATATAGATTCTCTTTTAAAAGGCTCCATAAGGCTCTTCGCTGTAACCTGTAATAAAAATTAAAGATTAATTATTAGTGTGGCATTTCATTTAATATGACTAGAGTATTTTCAAAGTTACTTCATACAACTGAGATATGAAATAATCAAGATTAATGCATGGGTTTGTTGATATACAAACAAACTAGGGAATATTGCAAAAAAGGTTCAATTAAGCGGACATGATATATTACAATCATAAAATTAAAGAAAGAGTAAAGAAGTTGGTTGGGTTGGTGATTATTATTTTATTTCCCCACTCTACTTATTTCTTCAACCAACGGTAATATACGCTGATAACACTTTTTTTATTAATTTATTTATTAATATTTTTGAAACTCTACGAAACATATTTAATAATATCTTAAGATTATATTATAGGGTATTCCATTAAAAAAAATCATCCCGATCCACTCGCAGGGTGTTTTATTTATTTTTTTATTAACACAATGTTTCAACCAGAAGGATTACTGACCGTTATCAATTTTCAATCTAACCATTTTGAAGCTAAGAAAGGAATAGTTAAAACTTTTTTTTATGTCATCGAGCAAATATCATATCGTGGGCGTACAGCGAAAATATCGGCATCCTTATATTATATTATAAGGATGCCGAAATTGGACTTAATTGGTTTTTCATGTTAAAGACCGTGAAAAACTGGACATAGTGGTGTGTTTAATCTAATTCAACCAAAAATGTGACTTAGTGGATTTTCGCTGTACGCCCACGATATGCAGTGACCAAGCATCCTTAATGTTGAATTAAATAATATTAAAACGGATTTGCTTAAGAATGGTTACTCTAGAAGTCTGTATACAAAATTATATCGAATTGTAAAACCGATTCATTGGTCGATGAATCCATGATCTGAGGAGGACGCTCTTTCTCTCTTGACTATTCTATATGTAAAAGGAATGTCAGAAAAGATCAGACGAATAGCTAAAAAGTATAAAATTAAAACTGTCTTCAAATCTGGATCGACTCTAAGAAGTGTCCTAACAAAAACAAGACCGGAGTCATTGAAACAAGGGAAAGAGTCATGTATCCTTGTGAATGCAGTGAGTCGTATATTCGAGAGACTAAACGTCCTCTAAATGTAGGTACGACTTAGGACTTAGGGTAGCTGCAACGACATCCTGCAATCCTGTGGTTCAAACATACCAGCTGGTTTTTATATATAAAAACAAATCATTGTCTTGTTTCAATAGCAGCATTACGTTGGGATGTAGGTAGGGACGTCGTTGCACCCACCCTAAAGGCAGGCGGCCACAGCGAGCGTAACTAAACTAAGCTAAGAATATAAAAACAAACAGTAACTAAACGAAAATAAGTTTCATCGGCCACTGGGAACGATTTTCGTTCAGTGGTCAGCTAAGTTAGCTGCGTTTTCGTATTGTATCTTTGCTATCATAAAACCACATAAAACTAATCGCTACGAAAAATTCGCTGGACGTGACAGAGGTGTCACGAACTAAAATGAGCAAAACTAAACTACGATTCGAATCTTCGTTCATATATTTTCGTTTAGTTTCGCTCCAGTGGCCGCTGATGCATTTAAAAGTATGGGAGCTGATTTTTATACATCTTATCTTCGCTTGGCTTAGTTTCGCTCGCAGTGGCCGCCTTTAACGAGCACAAAAAACATGTACAAAAAGGTGAAACAAGAAGTCATGTATTGCGGATCATATTTGGTCAAAACAACACAATATCAAGTGGTTAGAAGCTGGGGTTGTCCACAGAGAACCTCATTGGAAAAATCGTAAATTTAAAGAGTCCGTTTTAATTGCAAACAATGACAACATCTTTACCAATCCTAGTACGGAAATATCTACGATATGGCAATTATTCATAAAACGCACTAATACAGGAATTCTAAGTGGATAACCTTACGGTTGACTGCACCCAACTTCTTCACGAGTGAATGCCTGGCTGTAGTATAAAAGCTCAGTAGTTTTAGGAATTACTTTAGTTTACAATTGATAACGGTTTTCTGATCGAAACGTTGTGTTTGGTTCGATTTTGTCTACCACATTGAAAGTAACGTTAAAATCGAGGTTAAAATATTTTCCTGAAATGCATTCCTTTAGGTTGAACACATACTTTAGGTTGGCACTTATAAAAGCATCCTAAGTTTTTTATTATAGGAGGTACAACAGATTAGACCTGTTCGGTGTGGAGATTTGAACACCGGTGTTAGGTGTTGATAACCACCGGTGTTTCAGTCGGTGTACCGGTGTCAACACCGACACCGGTGTTCATCTACAACACCGGTGTTTATCTCAACACTGGTATGGCGATGAACACCGGTGTCGATGTCGATAGTGCTGTTTGTTTTTTTTATGTAATATTTTTTAGTTTATTTTACAGCTACCAATTTTTGTTTCATGTTTTGTTTTGTTTTCTGTTTGTTTTTGATTAAACAATTTTTCCCTTTATAGTTGTTCGCTATAGTAGACGCTTCCACTTTATTTTACTGATTAGTCTGACAAAAAAATATATTTAAATTTAAAAGTTTTAAGTTAAAGTCGGTGCGCTTTAATAAACGATAAAAATAATCACCAATAGCATTACTATTATCAGGTTTATTTAACCCGTTTACCAAACACCGGTGTCGTAGCCAAAACCGGTATCGAGATGAACACCGGTATCGAAATGAACACCGGTGTCGGTATCAACACCGGTGTCGGTGTCGACACCGTAACACCGGATAGCCCATATTTGGCCACCGGTGTCAGCCCAACACCGGTGTTCCGGTGTTTGGAATAGACCTACAATAGATGCCTGATGCACTATTGCCAAACCCGTATAAAGTTTTTTTTTGCTACTTTTTTTTCTGCTACTACTGTTTGAACCGTGGCAATATCGAATGCGGCAAATTTTTCATATACAACCTTATAACATCATGCACAGAATGAAAATCATTGTTTTAATTTGATACATAAATGATCAATGAACTAATCTGTGTGTGAACTAATCTGTTCAAGGTCACATAAAACTTAATTCCAGTGCCGTGGTGTTTCAAGTCATATAATAATCAATATATAATCTGTTGTAATTTGTTGTTTTAACTGTCAAAGTCTTGTCAAAACATATATATTTGGTTATAAATATAAAATGGAATGCCCCATTGGTCGCACCGCAAGCACACCAATGGACTGACGCACAAAAACGAATCAATCAAAGAAACGCGATATAGTATAGTCTTTGTCAATCACGCTAATATTTTAGAATAAGTAGGAGGATCGCAGGCAGATGATTAGACCGGGCTTTTAAAAACCTACGTCTGCGGTAAACATTTACGTTTTTAATGTAAAAATGATAGCGCGCGTGTCGATTCTAACTTCATCAAGAGATGAATCACTCCCAAACATTCGTGGCGTTTATTATATTTACATGAGCAGGGACGCGCCGTCCATATGGGCAAGGTCGTGCGGCGCACGACGGCGCCAAAGCCCTAAAGGCGCTAGCGGTCACTGACTTTAAAAAATAATAAAACCAATTTTTGGAACTTATCAACAAATTAACATAAAATTTAAGTAATACTTTTATCCATGAACGCCAGTTGTGAAAATATATTATCTATCAATGTCGAGCGCCGCGCCGCTGGTCATTGGAAATTTTGGCTTAATATTATAATATTGGAGAAAGGCGCCTACCCTTATTTCGCACGACGGCGCCGAAAATACTTGGCGCGTCCCTGTACATGAGATCTAGAAACTTTTAGTAGAGGAAAAACTGCTTTGTTGGAATTTATTTAAAATTTTATGTTCTTATAGGGATATTACATTCAGATAATACAGTATTACAAAATTTCCCTTTGGTCTTCAGAAAACTTTAGGACCCGACATGAACCGGCAGCCACATGAGCCATAGCCTGCGGACACCTGTGTCAGCGAGACAAATTACCCCCTTTACAAGCCCACACCCTACTGCTTATTCACGCTTTGGCTGGGGTGGTTGCTGCTTGCAATATTCCACCCTCCGGTGGGGTGTACCGATAGAGGGCTTTATTAAATCTTGATCTGTCTGTTTTTGTTTTGGTTTTTAATATCGAGATATTGTTATTCAGATATCGTTTAAATTGAGAGCGGAGGGTTAGGTGGTGCAGATACTGAATGCGGTATGGTTTTGTTTAACGCTTCGATTGTTATTTAAATGGGGGTGGTTTTTCATATTCCGCATTGATTCAAATCGTAATTGAATAATAGGATAGGTTTGTGCTAGAAAATGGGGACCTGAAGTTTGAATTAAACCAGGATAAGTACTGTACTGAGAAGTACTGTGAAACACATTATACAGGGTGGTCCGAACTGTATTCCGGAAACTTCGGCAGCATATTCTGCAGATAAAAATAAGTAGAAAAGTTCGTATAAATGTATATCTTAAAATGCTTGGTTTCGGAGATAAGGGTGTAGAAGTTTCATTTTTATTTCGATTTTTTCCAAATAATTTCTGAAGTAACGTCAATATTTGGATTAAAAAATAATAAAAAAATATCGCTGTCTGGGAGATTTTTGCCATGAAAAATTTGATTTTGTTGTCAATATGACTTTTACTAGTAGCCACTTACATATTTTTAACTGGTTTGAAGAGTAATAACTTTTCGTCCGTACCTGAATAAAACTGCCAAGTAAAAAAATATACATTTACGGCGTTTTTTACCTAAAAAAGGTTTCTTGGTAAAAATCGCTAAGAGTAATAGTTTTCAAGATACTTGGAATCGAAATTATCAATACCTGTCATCATTGACATTAATTAAACATCTTGACTAAATAGACTTATTAGCCTGAAATCATAAATTTGAAATATTTTTGTGCCAAAAGTTCACACACAAACACAAACTGTTTTATCATCATTTTTTGCAGAAAAATTTATCATTAATTAAAAAAAACTAAAAATTTCCCAAATTTATTATTTCAGTGAAATAACTATCTATTCAACGTGTTTATTTTTCGTCAATAATGACATGTATTGATTATTTCCATTCTAAATATATCTTGAGAACCGTTGCTCGTAGCGATTTTTACAAAGAGATATTTTTTGCCTCAAAAATCACAGAGATGTATATTTTTTTTCTTGGTAGTTCTATACAGGTACGAACAAAAAGTTATTACGCTTCAAAACAGTTAAAACGCATGTAGGTGGCGCCCTCTCCTAGTAGGAGTCATATTGACATGAAAATCAAATTTCTCATGTCAAAAAACTTCCAAACACCAATTTTCATCCAAATATTGACGTTACTTCAGAAATTATTTGGAAAAAATCGAAATAAAAATGAAACTTCTACACCCTGTATCCCTGAAACTAAGCATTTTAGGACATACATTTATACGAACTTTTTTACTTATTTTTATCTGCAGAATATGCTGCCGAAGTTTCCGGAATACAGTTCGGACCACCCTGTATAATGGCAAATTTTCTGCTGATAATATAGAAATAAAAATTGCAAATATAAATAAATCGAGATAACATATCTAATGTATGTTGTAACTAAAAAAACATTAAAAATTTAAAATATCTACTTTTTAGACAAGGTGACATGGCGTATCAATGTTTTTTTTTAGTTTTTACGGTGGTTTTTACGCCATTTCAAAATATGCAGGGAAGCGAACATTTTAAAAATATTTTTATAGGTATATACATATAGACAGGGTCCGGCAAAAGTACGTCGGGCATCTGTAGCTACTAGAATAAAAAACTTAGGAATTTTTGTGTGCCAATCTAAAGTATGTGTTATTTTAAGTTCTACGGCAGGGTAGCTCAAAAAAGTGTGAATGGATCGGGATGATTTTTTTAAATGATATTAATATTAATAAATAATAACATTAATATTTCGATAGTTTCAGAGATATTAATAAATAAATAAAAACTATACATTTTAAGCCTTTCTTAAAGATATTATTAAAAATACAAGAACTGTCCTGAAATGTAAAAATATATTAGGTATTTACTTTAGATGGTCTGTACTTACTTTGCTATAAATATGGTAATAGTAAATTTACAGGATGTTCAAAATTATACGCCAAATTTTCTGAAAATATAAAATAATTTCTCTTCGTTTTTTTTAAATGGATATGTTACGGTTAAGGTCCGATATTCGGTTAATATCGACATTACCCGGTTAATCTCGAGAATAACACAAAACAACCAAAAACAAACCCAAACATTAATGTCGACATTAACCGGACATCGGACTTTAACCGTAACAGATATATTGTATATTATTTTTTCAATAGATGAAGAATTAAAAAATTAACATTTTTTTAGAATATTTAAAAATGTTTAATGGTATCGCACATATTCGCGGTTTAATATTTCATATTGTATTTTCCACAGTAAATTTTTATGAAAGCCACCCAATGATTTTATTCTCGCATTTTACCGTTGAAAGAGCCATATGAAATAATAATACGTGTATCTGTGAAACCACCAAAAATTTTGAAATACTTTAAATACAAAAATGTTATTTTTTAACACTCCATCTAATAAAAAAATAATATACAGGGTGCTACAAATTCGGGGTAAGAGCATTGGTTCCTCGGTAACTGTAATAGATACGAACATGGTTAAATTGGGGCAAAGTTGCGTTTTGGGATGTTCACCAAGATGCTATCAAAAAAGTTTTAAAAATTTCAAGGATTGCTGAGTTTTTTGGAAAAATCAATTGATTTTTTTAAAAATCAATTTTATTTTTTCCTCGTTACTTTTTAGAAAATCAAAAAACTAATTGCACATTCTCATAGCCACTTTACTAGGGCTATCTGATAGTATTTTTAGATTTCTAAATTAGCTGATAATTTGTGAGATACAGAGGCCAACTTAATTTTTTTAAATACGGACCTGCATTTTTATTTCAGATTTTGAAAGAACTTTGTCTATTGAGTACAACGATGTGCCACACTTAATAGTTTTTTTGTTTTGACATTTGAACACAACTTATTTAAACTAATTTCAAGTCCGCCTCTGAGGTTTTTCAAAGATTTAATCTATTCATCGTTGCAATATTGATTTGAGCATTCAAACTTAACAATGACGTGGGTTAAAACATTGAATACGGAAAATCAAATGCAATAAAATAATCAATATAAATAAAATATAAACAATCAAATTATTTTCCCGGAAGATGGACTGGAAATTGTAGAGTAATATAATTTATACTGCTCTACCATTTCCAAGTATAATGTCCAGCGAGGTTCCTGTACCTATTGCCAAGGGGCTACGTTACTTGACGTCATTTGTAAAAGTGAAATGAATTCATCTCAACATTTACAATAAAGAGTACAAAATGCATTCGGAAGGATAAGAAGAAAGTTCAAAGAGCTATAAATAAAATTGAACGAAAAATAACGAACATGTAGAACATTAGAAACTAGTTTGCAGAAGTTGATTTATTTATAATAACTTCGATTAATATTATGCATATTATTAGGTCGCACACTGAGATTTCAAATTCACAATAAAAAAAGTTAAAAATAATATATCTTTAAATTTCTGACCTGGATATTATTTATTTGAATTTTCCAATTGGCTCGATTTTCCTTATTCAATGTTAATTAGCGCTGAATATTCAATATTGTTGCGATGAATATAATCAGATTAAATAATTTAAGAAACCAGCGTCGGACTTGAAATTATTTTAAATATAATTAAATAGTTTTGTTGCTGTTAATGTAACCCAAAACAAAAAAAAGTATAAAGTGTGGCATCATTGTATTCAGGAGACTGAGTTCCTTCAAAATCTGAAATAAAAAATGCAGGTCCGTATTTAAAAAAAAATAAGTTGGCCTCTGTATCTAAAAATACTGTCAGATAGCCCTAATAAAGTGGCTATGAGAATGTGCAATTAGTTTTTTGATTTTCTAAAAAGTAACGAGAGGAAAAAATAAAATTGATTTACAAAAAAATCAGTTTTTTCCAAAAAACTCAGCAATCCTTGAAATTTTTAAAACTTTTTTGATGGCATCTTGGTGAACATCCCAATACGCAACTTTGCTCCAATTTAACCGTGTTCGTATCTATTACGGTTACCGAGATACCAATGCTCGTATAGTAAACGCCACGAATGTTTGGGAGTGATTCATCGCTTGATGAAGTTAGAATCGACACGCGCGCTATCATTTTTACATTAAAAACGTAAATTTTTACCACAGACGTAGGTTTTAAACGCCCGGTCTAATCATCTGCCTGCGCTCCTCCTACATATTCTAAAATGTTAGCGTGATTGACAAAGACTATACTATATCGCGTTTCTTTGATTGATTCGTTTTTGTGCGTCAGTCCATTGGTGTGCTTGCGGTGCGACCAATGGGGCATTCCATTTTATAACCAAATATATGTTTTGACAAGACTTTGACAGTTAAAACAACAAATTACAACAGATTATATATTGATTATTATATGACTTGAAACACCACGGCACTGGAATTAAGTTTTATGTGACCTTGAACAGATTAGTTCACATGGTAGCGACCGATGAAGCACTCCCAAACATTCGTGGCGTTTACTATACAAGTCAGTTAGTTTAGTTTATGCAGATTTAGATACTATATCGCGTTTCTTTGATTGATTCGTTTTTGTGTGTCAGTCCATTGGTGTGCTTGCAGTGCGATCAATGGGGCATTCCAGTTTATATATATATAACCAAATATATATTTTGACAAGACTCTGACAGTTTGCTGGAATCCTTTTTAAGTAATTTGTTACTATTAAATATTTTTGTAATATTCACCAATAATAATTAATTTAAAATTTTATACACAAAAACATAAACAACATATTATATATTGATTATTATATGATTTGAAAGACCACGGCACTGGCATTAAGTTTTATGTGACCTTGAACAGATTAGTTCACATGGTAGCGACCGCTGAATCACTCCCAAACATTCGTGGCGTTTACTATACCTCGAATTTGTAGCACCCTGTATAAGGTGTTCTATTTAAAAAAAAAACGAAGAAAAAGTATTTTATATTTTAGAAAGTTTGTCGTAGAATTTTGAACATCCAGTATGATTTAGGATTACCATATTTATAGCAAAGTAAGTACAGATCATCTAAAGTAAATGCCTAATATAGTTTTGATATCAGAACAGTTCTTGTATTCTTAATAATTTTTTTAAGGTTGAAAAATATATATTTTTTATTTATTTACTAATATCTCGGAAACTATCGTCATATATTTACTCATATCTTAGGATTTTGTAAAGTGAACTGAAAGGAAGCCAAAAATGCAATAATATATACAGGGTGTTCTATTTAAAAGAGATTTTATTTTTTTTTGAGCCACCCTATAGAAGATAAAATATTTTCCTGAAATATATTCTCGTACATACTTTAAGTTTGCACTTAAACAAAATTCTCAAGTTCTTTATTATAGGATCTACAGATGTCCGACGCATTATTGCCGGACCCTGCATATTGGAACGAAAAGCCCAAGTATGAAATTTCATATTGAGTTTTTTTCGGAATAGTGGGACATCTTGTAAAGATATTTTTTATATGATTAGTATTTTTTATAGCAACAAATGTGTGATCCAGAACCACAAGACCCATATAGTCTCCTTTGATTATCAACTTTACTTATATTTATCTTTGATTAAGAAGATTTACTGATATTTTTATATAAAAACTTATTAGGGTATCAATTATCAGTTGTATCTACCTTATTGCTCATTCTCTGGTTCTTTGGTTTTGTCCATTTCCCGTATTCTAAGTTCTTCCTGAAGTTTCAGATGATCTTGCAGTATCATATCTTCAATTGAAGGTCCCTCTTCTTCTGTTTCTTCAGATGAAACTTCCTTGTTGAGAGCCTTGTATATCTCGGCTCTATTTTCCAGAATTTCTCTAACAATATCTAAAAACATAATTTATTGAAATATAAAAGTGTTGTGTTATATTTTAAACAATTTAAAACCTGAGAGAACATCCCTACTGCAGACCATATCCTGTAGCTCGTGCGTGACTTCCTTAATCAACCATGGCATGAATGACTCATCGATATCTAAAAAAAGGAAAAACAAGTGAAAAACGAGCAGAAAATTAGAGTTACGTAACATCTACTGTTTGCCTGTGATTTACGACCGGCAATTTTCAGTAATACCAACGGTAATACATTATTTATATTGCAGATTATTTGATCCGATAATATACATAAATTATGTTAATCATAGCTTTAAACAAATTATAGCACGTGTGGATAATATAATATGTTTAAAAGTTTTACGGATAGTTTTACATTTTAGTTATTCAGGTTTGCAACGATTGATGGGAACCACAAAAAAATCGTATTATAAGTTTCAATCTAGAGTGCCATGGCTGTGTTAATAACACTAATTTTTAATCAAGGAGCCTTGGAAAAACAGATTTAGTTATCTAATGTTTTTCATGTGTTGTCCTGGCCGGTTAAAAGATGCCCAAATCGTTTTTTAATCATATCTCAATTTTTTCAAATAGAACATGGGAGCATATTTGAAAAAAGCATTTTTTACGAATCATTTGTTACCACACCTTTGGTATTTCGAGTCAAATTGTCGATATGAACCGCTTGTTAAATTAAAAAAAAAACATATGCAAAAATGCCAGATGTTGACATATGATATGTTATTCTATTCAGGGGTCATTCTCTATCGAATAAAGTAAAAAAATATCGAAGGTGTTATTTAAAAATCAAAAATTGTAGTTATTTCCGGTGAAACAGGAAGTGACCAAAAACAATTGAAGACGTCACTTAATCCTACTTTATGTCATATATCAACATACCAAATCTCACTTTTACATCTGAAAGAATAAGAAAGTTATAGAGGTGAGCCATTTTTGAGACGCACCCGGTATATCGTGTACACTAAGATATCGAAATAAATTACAGTGTAATTTCCATTAAACTCGCTAAATAATCCATAAATAAATTTATACAGGGTGTTTAAAAAAACATGTGCCATCTCTCGTGGGGAGATTTCTCACGTTTTATACGTTTCGATTTATTATAATTTTCTTCCAAGTGCTTTTAGCGATTCAAATAAAAATTGGAGGGTAAGGACTACTATGAGTGCTACATATTTTAATGCTGACAGAAGAAAAAATGTCGACATATTCACCAGGCACGTGCATATGGGTTATCATTGGAATATTTTTCTGAAAAAAAATATGCGTTACTGATTTTCTTTCTCTTATTTATTAGCAATAGTGTGTAAGCCATTTAATGCCGATTAAAAGTTGCATCTTGATATTGATTACACTAAATCACCACAATACACCAAAACACTTTTACTTTTACACTGGACGCGCGTTTCGCTAACCATGTTAGCATCATCAGCAGATGATTATAAACTCCAGTTGATTATAAACTTGATACTTGTGATTATAAACTCCAGTTTATAATCATCTGCTGATGATGCTAACATGGTGAGCGAAACGCGCGTCCAGTGTAAAAGTAAAAGTGTTTTGGTGTATTGTGGTGATTTAGTGTAATTTTATTTTGCTGTGTAACACCAAAGGTTCCAACCCTTAACTGTAATCTTGATATTTTATCTAATACGATCTCGTCAATGAGATCAATGGGCAATTTTATTAATAACAATTAATAAAATTAACATAAAAATAAAATTAATAAATTATTTATTTAATGTAATTTGTTACTCAATTTTGTTAAAATTTATAAACCTAATGTAAGATGCTCAAATTCCAATAGAAAATAATGGAATTAAAGATAATAACAAAAGACCAATTTTTAAAAAAAATTAACATCCAGTAACTTTAAATCTATGAATTTCCGCACTCTATGTTTATTTATTATTATTATAAACACTCTTTTATATTTTTTGATGAGGAATCAATGAGTATTTGACATTTTGGCAAGTTTATGACATTAAATTTTTTTAAAAGTTGCTATTAGAATTGGATTAGGACAAATTAATTAAATTGCTATCCAAAAAAATCCATATGGGTTTTTCGCCACTGCACTGCAAGAAAAATCTACAAAATAAAATAGTTATTTTTTGTAAACACTTCTGCGTTAAACCTAAAAGGACGCTGCTTGTCAGAAGTTGTGTTTACAGTAATAAAAATTTGCCTAACAAAGAAAAAAATGCTTAACGTTTCGGAAAGTTTTCTCTTTCCGTCGCCGGAAGCAAAAAAAATATAAAGAATTAAGAAAAAAAACTATTTAAAATATTTAAATTGAACTATTCGAGAACACTTTACTTTTTAAAACAGATACGTCTACAAGAAATCGTTGACGTTCTGTTAAAATGACATTATATTAAGTTAAACTTCAAAATTAACAATTACTACCTAATAATTACTTAATAAGGTAAAACCAAAAAGCCCTAACTTTCTGTATGATTATTTTTAAATTTTACGTGCCTGGTGAATATGTCGACATTTTTTCTTCTGTCGGCATTAAAATATGTAGCACTCATAGTAGTCCTTACCCTCCAATTTTTATTTGAATCGCTAAAAGCACTTGGAAGAAAATTATAATAAATCGAAACGTATAAAACGTGAGAAATCTCCCCACGAGAGATGGCACATGTTTTTTTAAACACCCTGTATAATCAAAGAAGCGATTGCCATACATTACTAACATCTACAGATGCATGAGCAATACATTTATTTTTATTAGATTGAATTAAAAAAGCCTCTTTTATTTTTCTTTTAGAGGCTATCGCTTCTTTCATTATAATTTTGGCGTTATTAAAATTTATTCTGTGCCCTGTGTCCCATGAATGCTGACAAATCTTAGATTTGTGAAAATCTCCCTTTCTTAAATAATCTTTATGTTCTTTAATTCTAGCATTTAAGGGCCTAGATGTTTCACCAATGTAAAACGTATTCCATTCACAGGGTATTTGGTATATAACATTTTTTGTAACATTTTTTAATTAAATTGCGTTTATCTCATCAAGGACACCAAAATCGACCAAATATCAAGAGACAACGTTTAATCAGCATTTAACGGTCTACACAGTAATTTTGCCAATAAAAAAAAGACAGTGGCGCACATATTTTTTTAGAAAAATATTCCAGTGATAATCCATATGCAAATTCTTGGTGAATATATGGACACTTTTTTAGCATTAAAATATGTCGCACTTATAGTATCTTTTACTCTTAAAATTTCATTGGAATCGTTAAAAATACTTGAAAAAAAAATTATAATAAATCGAAAAGGATGAAGACTTTAACCCCCCTTAAGCATGAAACAAAGTAGAATCGGACCTATGTTAATATGAAAAAAAGTCTTATTTTTAAGAGAGGAATCTCCCGACGCGACGAAAGATGGCACATATTTTTAAGACACCCTGTATTTTTTCATTTCCAGTTAGTTTGGTTATATTACGCCGAGGATACACCTGATGAATGTTACCATTCTTTCGCATTCATTTGCATGGTAGCCATTCGCACCTTTATTTGTACCAAGTGGTGTTTCCACCTACGTTATCAATCATTCGCGGCTCGCATTTTTCTTTGATCTATTCAATTTTGCCGACAGAAGTACCTTTGTCGCGCATTACATTCGCTTCGAATGCACTTTTACACCTGAATGCGAACGATGGTGACATTCGCCAGGTGTATTGCCGACTTTAGTTCATTCCGGACTTTTTCTTACCTTCTTTAACATTATCCATCATAAATCCTTCGGATTCTAATCCTTCAATCACGGATGGTAATAGGTCAGCCATGTATCCTTGCATTAGTACAGCCGCAGCTATACGTTCCTCCATTTCTTTCTGGATTTTAACACCATCCTCGTGTTCAGCCAACCTCTTTTCTTTTTCTTTCACAATTCTTTTCTCCCTTTCTTCTAACCTATATATAATTAAGAAATTATATTTTTTGTAAATGTTAAACTTTAAGTTAAAAAAATTAACCTTATGTAGTGTGCTCATATTAAATTCACATAATTTAGTAGCATTCAGATTGCTATCTTTATATCGTTCGCACATACATGAAAGTAGTGTAATTTATTTTACACTAATTGCAATTAGTTAACTACTTCTAGTTAAACAAGTCCGATAAAGAAGAATTAGTGATATGTTTTCCAAAATAATTAGTAATTGAAAAAAAGTGGAAAATTGCATGAAGAGAAATAGTTTTCAAACATATTGCGTGTAAAGCAGAACTTTTTGCAGAAAATTAGATTTCTTGAGATATTGATTATCTTGATCAGGTTAGGTAATAATGACCTTTCAGATATTAGTAAAAACATGTTTACGACTCTTAACACAATAATTTTTCTAAAGTAAAACTTATTTCTATAATAAAAAAAAACTATGTTTAAAATATGTATTATTGTAAACATAAAATAATCTATATACAAATGAGCAAAGTAGATAAGAGCTTGATAAATGTATGTGCATTAATGTAAAAAACAGTTTGACATTATTGATATTTTCCCTCAGACTAATATTTTATTTAAAATATTCATAATAATAAGTCAAAGTATATGACAACCATACTAATATTTTGTATATTTGGGTCAAAATCACGAAGGTGCGAAATTCGCTTCGCCACAGTATAATTTGCAAAAATCGCATAGTTATTGAATAACTAAATTTTGATAAAAATTTAATTTATTCGTTTTATCTGCACATTATTTAATATACTTTAAATGTAAATAATATTTAAAGTTATTTCAAGTTATGTACATAAAAAGTCATTTCGAGAACGCATCCTAAAGTAACGATCCCTAGAAACAATTACTAAGAACGTCTATTAATTAAACAATATTACACATATTCATAACTTGTGATCGAATAGTTTTATCTAATATTAACATTTTATAATAAAAATACAAACATCATTTTTTTTTCCAATATAAAGAAGGAAAAATATTTTGTCCGGAAGTGATTGCATCATTTCAGTGAACGCAGTTTTAACTAGCCAAAAATAATTTATTAAGAACGCTGCGGGTTGGCGCTAGTGTGCACTCTTTGTATATGGCGATAATCAAGGCGGCTGTCGCGTGTGTTTATAGTAAATATTAATACAAATTAGTGGTAAGTATCTTCTTATTTATTATTTATTGAGCGTACATCAATAGTTCATCATCCCGGGAATGCCTGTATTAATTTGCGATATCAGAAAAATGATTATTTCAATGAAATATAGCAAAAGTAACCTCAAATATTTTATGATAACTGTCTCAGATAACGTATATGATGGCTGCCGTTAATAGAAAACGCATTTTTATTTGAAAACGTCATTTCGTGAACGATCATTTTGGGAACGTTCCCGGACATGATGATGCGTTCCCGACATGATTATGACGTTCCCGGAATGACAGATTTGTTCAATTCGGAACAATATTGTAATGAAATTACTTGAAAATGATATTTTACTTTAATGATATTTTTTTGTAGCAATATGGAGTCGGACAAGACCGAAAAAATGAAAAAAAAGCTCAATAAAACAACTGAAAAAAAATAGTGCAGCCTACTTGCGGCAAAGAGAACAGGCTAACGCTCGAAAAAGAAAGTTTTTAGATAAGATGACAGATGAACAGCCAGAGATTAAGAGGGCTAAAAACCAGGTATTATGAATATTATCTGACAAAAAGGAACAGAAGTTATTGTACAAGTGTATCGACATGACCGTTTTCTCAAGGAGTTAAAACTATCCATGGTTTCTAATAATTTAAACGCGACCTCAGTTCAAACCAAGACCGCTTGTATATCTTCGATATTACCTTCTGAACTTATAGAAGGTCCCATAGATGTAGATGATTTAGGAGACCTTTTGAAAGTCTTTAGGATTTAGGAGACCTTTGAAAGAAGAGATATAACATTTATAAATCTATTTATGATTCATCTTCATCCGATGAAGACGATTTAATGACTATTTCAGCTCGTCAGCAGACTGAAAGAGATGCATGCAACAATGTTCAAGCTGGTACATCTTACGGGCAAGACAAAGAAAACTTACATCCAAATTTAATATCATCTGGGACATTTCTATTAATTAAAGTACCTACCCAAAATAAGAAACTTATTTACAGATATGTTGCCACTTGTCAGACAGGTGTTGACAATGATGATGGGGAAATCCTAGTAACTTTCTTGAGATCTGCGCGTAACGGTAGCAGAAAGTTTAAACTACAAAAAAATGATGTGTCTTATATTACCTTTGACCAAATAATAACTATTATTCGAAAGCCACGAATGAAGGTAGAGCATAACCAAAGTATTATTACTTCGATAAGGATGTTGATATTTTTAAAAATTCTAATGTTTTTGTTACTACAAATACAATTTGTTACTAGAAATACCAATAATATCAAAATAAATAACTAAATAAATTACACTGTTGATTCATTATTTCAAATATCCCTTTATTAAACTTCCATGCATCGATTTATATCATATTTGCTTTCATTGTAATACTATTACCGTCATTCAGGAAATAGCTACGTCATTCCGAGAACACGTGATCATTTTCGGGAACACTACTAAATTAAGGAAAACTTAGATCATTTTAAATATATTCCTAATAAAGATTATAATTCATTAATAAAACTTAATTCTGTGTATGTAAAGTAAATTTTATTAAGGAATTCATTTGGTATTTTAACAAAACTAAAATTGTATACTTAAAAATAGTAACTTATCTCAAATGTAGACGTATTTTTCTTCTTACCGTTTTACTATTACTATATTACACGTTTAGTTTAATTTGATTTTAATAAACTTTTAGGTGTGTCACTGTATAATGAAAATAAAAACCATTTATATTTTTTTTGACATTTCATGAATTTTATAAAAACGTTCACGAAATGACTGATTCTCCTATTCAATCTCCTTAAAAACCATATTTCAAAAAAAGTATATTATTCTGTGCTTGCACTATTGCAGTAACAATTCTACACAAGTTTATCGACAATTTCAGCTAATTTACATAATTCTAGTTTATGACATTTTTTATTACAAAATCAAATTTGAAATTTTCCACCTTGATGATTTTGACCCATTTAATTTTTAATACAGTCTCATTTATAAAAAAATACCTTAATTGTACATTGTAATTACAAATATTTTCTTTTCACAATTTATTTGGCCACGATTCTCTTTAATTTGTTTTATATCATAATTTTTTTGGTTATGAGTCTCTTGTTTTTGTTAAATAAATATTTTGTAAAGAATTTATTAATATAAATATTAAATGAACTTTAGAGACATTATTTGTTTTCTACCATTTCTTAAGATCATAAAAAATGTAGTAGCAAAACATTAAAAAATATAGTGGTGTATTATAACGAATGGGGAGAAAATAGGGTATAGAGGGTACCAATGGAAAACACCAAAAATAAAAATTATACCTATAACTAAATATATTTGAAAACAATTACCTTAGAGCCTCAGCAGTCTCTGCAGCTCTGAGCTCAAGGAATCGTCTTTGTTGCTCTCTTAATGCCGCCAGTTCTTCTTCTTCTAACACTTCAATAAGGGCTTGTTCGATAGTTTTTCCGACAAGCACTTCGAGGATGGGCTGAACTTCCATATCAAAGTCGAACAACTGAAATTTTTACAACATTAATCAATTGTGCAAAACACAAATTCATTAATTTGAATTTTATTCTCACATAACAATTTAAATTAGAGAAATGTTCCTCTTTAGACAGCGCGGCAATGAGCCTAATAATTGTGTTTTAAAACGATCCCAAGGCATGTAAACTCTGTATACGGAAGACTGTAATTATTATATTGTAATCAACGGTGCCCGGTGGCGTAGAGGTACAGGCTCTCGTCTACCAATCTCAAGGTAGTGGGTTCGAATTCTACACCCGGCATTTCATCAGCCGACTATTTTTATTAAAATAAAAATAGTTTGGGTACCTAGGTCGACTCAGCCTTAAATGAGTACTTGGGATTCACAATCATGAGGTAATAATAGACGGTTGAAGCGTAGTGCTAGCCACATTACCTTCCTTGTATACCGAACGGCTCTAGCATGGCAAGCTGTACCTTGCTACTCCCAAGGCGTTAAACGCTATATACGGGAGCTATTATTATTATTATATCAACAGTCAACTTATCAAGTCTCATAGACCTACGTCCAAGTCCAGTTCTGCAGGATCTATATCATTCTAACCTTTGATTTTACTTTAACTAAATTTTGTTTTGCGTGAAGCAATCCACGTTGAAAAGTTCTGTAGTCCGTTAGGGAAATCTGATGTTTGCGTATTGCAAAATCCTTATTACTTGATATATATACATAGTTGTTCTACTTATTTTGTAGGAGTTCACATTTATGACTATGAGGCAAAACATTATGAACTTTACATACTAATACAAGATAGTCGAGACACAATTAGCCTAGTTCTCATGGGGCGGCAAATAGCGTTGCGAGCGCGGATTTTTTTAAAATTGGCCCACTGCGGGAAAATTTCAACTTTTAGCGGATCCGCAAAATGTTAAACTATTTTTAACTTTTTAGCGAGTTTTTATAGTCTATCTTTGTCTAAACATGTTCTTTCTTCTTTTAATTTTTAACCTAATCTCAAATTGGGAGGGAAGCTGTTTGTTTTGGTAGTTTGAATTCTAATTTTGGAGTTGGGATTTTGATTTTAATTAATGTTTTTGTAAAGACCTTTTGTTTTTATGCCATTCATTAATTAATATTAATCCAACTATGTACTGCCTTCTCCATTGATAATAGTTATTATAGTTAGCAATATTAGTATCCATAATCACATAAAATTTAAATTAATAATTTAAATTAATTAATATAATAATATACTAGGTACACATATTTTTGTTTATTGTTTATTTACTTATTTACTTAAAAAAAACAAACTTTGTTTGTCACTGTCACCCTTTCAAGTTCTGACATTAAAAAAAATCACTAGAAAATAATCTTAAATACCCTAAATTTATCTAAAAATCCGCATCCGGAATCCCGCCTCTTGTGAACCGTCCAATTTTACTTTCTTCAACAGAAAACGATATTCCGCTCCTGTAACGCGATTTTCCGCTCCATGAGAACTAGGCTATAGCCGTCCATCAAAAATTCCGCATATATATTTCTTTATGCTAGAAGCATAAAATGATCGGCAATCTGATTTCTCTTTAAAGACACTTGTACAATCATAACACATTCTATAATTTCTTGAATTTGTCAATAAAGTAACAACAATGGACACAAATTTCAATTAATACAAGATAATTTCCAATACGGTTACAGTTCCACGAAAGTAAACTTAAAAAACCTTAAATACAACCGAGCAGCAGTTACAATTGAGGCGCTTCGAATAAAAGAGATACAAGTGACTTTTTTCTAAATCCAAATTTAGATAATTTAGGTACCAATTTGTTAGGTATAAATGGAATTAAGTAAATTCTACAGTGGCACTTAGTAGAGAGTGTAGAATTTACTTAATTTCCTTTTATAATAAATTGGTATCGAAAGTGTCTAAATCTGTATTTAAGTCCATTTAGAACAAAAAGTCACTTGTATCCCTTTTATTCTAAGCCCCCCAATTCCAATACTTTCCAATACTGAATTATTGTCTGCATCGTTATGTTTTCGTTATCTACAATTGACGTGGCTGTGGTGATCGGTATTCAGTAGGATCTACAGGGTTGTTCACCACATACGACACGGAGTATTGTAGCTAAACGATTAGATTTTTACAAATTGTAAGTTTTGGGTTCGTTGAAGGACTATTAGAGCTACAATTTAAAAATATTTTTACAAGATACAGAGTGTCCCAAATAAGTAAAAAATATCATAGTTGTATTTTTTTAAATGAAACATCCTGTATATTATTCTATTTTTGGATTCTACGATTGAAATAAAGGTAAATTTGATTAAGGTTTATCACACTTAAATCTTACCGTTTTTGAAATATTTTCAATTTTAAGAAATTGCAGTAAAAATTTTAATGCTTCATTTCTCCAAGGGTATCAAAGTTTTTAATACTAAATATTTACTGAAAATTATTTATTGATCAGATATTGTGTTGCAATAATAAAAATTTTACTACCTTATACAGAGTGTCCAAAAATTTATATTAAATAATTACTAGCTTTAAACGGCAATAACGTGTTTAAGTTAAATGGAACACCCTGTATATTTTACGTGAATCATATGCACAATTTAATTGTCTATCAAATTTTATTATACCATTTTTTACCTATCTCTGCAACTTTTCGTAGAAAATGCATTTTCTTATAATTTAGACCTCATTTATCACTATACCCATGGAATATTGACATTGACGTCGTATGTGGTGAACAACCCTGTATATCAATCACCGTACTGATTCGAGCACTAAGCGAGGTCCGTGGATTCGTATCCAACAGGACCTAGACATCTCTACTAGGGAGTCAGTTACAGGATATGAACTGAATTACAGTTTTGGTTATTTAATAAGTGAGTTGTTTAAATGCCATAATAGAATTACGATATACATATAGATTTATACTTCATTAAATTAAAAAAAAAAAACTTACATCTCCTGGATATATTTGGGTTTCAGCATCAGCACCAGTTTTGGCAGGAATATAAAATGGCGACACAGGTCTTTCCAGGAACAGGTCTGTTTGAGTGCACATGTCTGCCACCGGAGGATTAACAAACAGTTCTTCCAAGTAGTCTTCGGTTTGAATAGTCTCATGACGACGACCTATAATTAAATATGTAATCTTTGACAAAATTTGAACGCTCTGTAAGCCAAATGTTTCTAATTATAAATCACATGTTTGTTTTCGGTCCCGGACCGAGAGGAACTAGGGGAACTAATTAAATGACTAGATCACGCATTTAGATACACATAATACAATGCGACGACGACAGATCCGGCCCTTGTCTATGGCCGCGGCGGTTTATTTCTTTTTTGTTTCACTTTAGGTCTCCTAAATTAGGAAATATCTTATAAAAAGAAGTAGATGTTCTGACTTTTTAGACAAAAATAATGAGCTTGAAGTGACGAAAAATGCAATTTTCATTAAGAGAAAGAATCTATTTATCATTTAGCTTTATCTATATATGTCAGTATTATGTATTTTATTATTTGCTCCAATTAGTTTGTGATATAGATTTTTAAACACTGATTTGAGTTTTTTTAAAATTTATTGTTCATATCTGCAATAAAACTTACCTATATGTTTTTAATATACGCAATTACACGTTTCGTAATATTTCGTACATTTTCAAAATTATATAGATTATAGTACTCGTATGAATAGTTTTGACTTATAACAAAACCCACAAAAAAGCAACGGGGATGTCAATGCTAGTCGGGAACTAATGGGAACTAAAGACCAAGTTCAAGGAACTATTCATCTTGAGAAATTAGTACTAAGGAACTAGTTCCTCACAAAGAACTAAAACTCCCTCCTCTAACTCAAATACATATTTGGTATTATATATATTATATCACTTCAAATTAAACTTAACTATTTACAGTGCTATCTCTTAATCGAAACAACTAATTGTATTCCGATTAGCAAATCGTTCCTACTAGGGAACACTATGTCTATGCATATTGTTTATGGTTTATTATTTGAAAGAAAACCAGGATTTTTAAGTAGTAAAACCACTACAAAGGTTTAGACATTATTTATTGAACCGTTTTTAAACATTTGAAGCCACCCTGCGAATGCACGAAAATCTCCATTTTAAAAATAGTTTTTGAAATGCAACGGCAACATGTTCTCGTTTCAACATTATTTTCTCACAAAACTGATGACCGTCAGGCATAGATATTAAAGATCAGAACTGATTAGTACATTTAAATTGAAACATGTTGCTCAAAGAGGGAGAAATGCGAAAGACAGAGCAAGGAGATGCCGTGCTACGCAAATAAGTCTTTAGAGGAACGTTCTGATTAGGGAGGTAGCGTTCCCACTATAATATCGCAATTGGGATATTCCGATTATTGGACGTTCATATTAACGTGTGTTTTAATTAGAGACTGCAGTATTGCAGTATTGCAGATTGTAGTATTACCAAATAATGTTATTGGTATCATGTGGTGTCATCACTGGACACTGCCCAACCGGCGTAAACTTCGTGAAATAGAATATTTCCAAAGACGACTACCGTAGAGAATGCGGAGAGGAAGAAGAAATTAGAGAACATCTTCTGTGCCACGGTACGGCACTGGAATACCGACGCTTTAAAATTTTAGGGCAATATTTTTTGGAGAGACTAGAGGGAGCAGCAGAAGCCAACATCAGCGACATCGGGAACTTTGCAAAGAGCTGGAAGTGCTTTAACGCAAAGAAAGAATGAGAGGAAGGTTTGGTAAAACAATAGAGGGGTATCGCAATGGGCCCAAGGCCTCCGAGTGAGGGATCAAATATGATCCCAAACCCCAGCAACCTAACCTAACCTAACCTATGAATGACTACAATATGTACCGAAAACAATGCTAAACAATTTTGATCTTAATTTTCAACGGAAATAATTTTTTTCCTAATAATGTGCGTGTCCTCCGCGGTTTCTACGCACTTTCTTTTTGTCATAAACTGAATGAGGCTTCGAATAATCTCGCAATAAACGCAAAGAAAGATTGAGAGAAATTGGTACGATAATACATGGGTATCGCAATGGACCCAAGGCCTCCGAGTAGGATATCAAATAGGATCCTAAACCTTAGCAACCTAACCTAATGTTTAAGTGTTTACCTGTGACTGGAGGTGGAGAACCTAATCTAAGTTGAGAAGATCTGTAATGCTGATTTTTGGCTTTTCTGCGTGCTAAAGCTCTTCTTCTTGCTTCAGCTGCCCGAGCTGCTGCTGATTCACCATCACCCTGTAGTGAAAAATAATTATAAATTCCAAGCAAAACGTAAGAAATATTTTAATATTCTTTTTGTAAAGCTCTACAGGGTGTTTCAAAAAACATGTGTCATATCACGTGGGGAGATTCCTCTCGTAAAAATAAGATTTATTTTTCATACCAAGATATGTCCGATTTTGCTTTGTTTCGTAACTTCGGTTAAGGATTACAGTCTTCATCTTTTTTCGATTTATTATAATATTCTTCCAAGCGCTTTTAGCGATTCGAATGAAATTTTGAGGGTAAAAGTTACTATAAGTCCGACATATTTTAATGCTAAAAAGAGACGTGCATAATATGGGTTATTACTGGAATATTTTTCTAAAAAATATGTGCGCTACTGACTTTTTTTCTCTTGCTAGCTAATTAAAAGAATGTAAAAGATATTCTGTAGATTTCGACCACCTTGATAAGATTAATGCAATTTAATTAATTTGCCTTAATCCAATTTTAATAGCAACCTTTAAAAAAAATTATGTCACTAACTTGTAAAAATGTCAAATAAGTACTCATTGATTCCTCACTATCACTGTACACTGATAACCCGTATGCACGTCCCTGGTCAATCTCTTGGTACTTTTTTTAACATTAAAATATGTAGCACTCATAGTAACTTTTACCCTCCAAATTCATTCTAATCGTTAAAAGCACTTTGAAGGAAATTATAATAAATCGAAAAAAAATGAAGACTGTAACCCAGGGGGTTAGGTTGAAGTACATGACCAATTTCTGTACACCAAAAGGCAATGAATGCCTCGATTACTCGAATATAGCCCCGCAATGCCCCTTCCCTACTCAATCATGCCCGACAATGCCCCGTATTGCCCAATAATGCCTCGTATTGTCCAACAATGCTCCGTATTGCCCAACATTGCCTGAAAATGCCCCCTAATGCAATATATATCTACCTCTTTTCATTTCATGTCATATACTAGAGTATATTATTAATAACATAATAACAGATATACATAAGTAGATAAATAATATAAAAACGAAAACTTTAATACTTATATGTTAGGTAAATGTTTTTAAAATTTCCATTAAACTAAAACAAAGAAAAGTTTTTTAAAACTAAAACAAAGTTAAACGTTTCTTTAACTAAAGATCTGGCAGAAATTTAAAACTTAAAACACATAAGACATTTTTTAATAATTTTTATAAACAAAACTCCTAATTTGTGGTTTGGTTGCGGTACACAAAGTAAAGTTTGGTTTGGTTAAAAATTAAACTTTTCTTAAACTAAAGATCTGACAAAAACTTGCCCAAACTTGCTTTATACTTAAAATACATAAGATATTTTTTTATATTTTTTACATTTTCTTGGATATACTTTTCAGTATTTTTTTTAATAAACAAACTTCCTAATTAATTACTCTACAGGGTATCCCTTTTAAACGATACCACTATTGCAGTCTCCGAAATGAATCGGTTAAATCAGACAGAAGTTGCCTTTTTCGAGGCCCATGCAAAAAAAAACACGTTAAAGTGTAAACGTTAATCCTGTAGTGCGATCACAGTATGAAAATTAAAACTGTAAACGAGAGTTAAATGTAAAAAAGGCCAGACAGGCCACTTTTCCCTAACCGACCGTATAGCTCTTTCCATTTTGGAGATAGCCATAGTGGTATCGCTTAAAATGAACTGCCAAATACATACTGCGATAATAACTCAACCACTACATACTCCGAAACAATAATCAAACTGGCTGGAGCTAGAGCGTTGACCCGTTGCGCTGACGACTGCAAGCCGTTTGAGTGTTGGTGACGTAATGACGTAATCAAAGTGATGGTGGGAGGATGCGCGCGCAATATATTTAACTTAAATATTGCACCACATTGCCCTTTGAATGCCTCATATTGCCCAACAATGCCTCACAATACCTTGTATTTCCCAACAATGCCTCATAATACCCCCGCAATGCCCCACAATGCCCCGCAATACCCGACAATGCCCAATGCCGACAATGCCCCTAGGTTGTACACCACAAGCCTCATGTACTTACTCCCTGCTTTAACCTCCTGTAGTTACGACACAAAGAATCGGACCAATGTTGATATGAAAAAAAAACTTACTTTTACGTGAGGAATATCCCCACGAGAGGTAGCACATGTTTTTTGAAACACTCTGTATAGTTAATGGTTCCCGAGTTAACCGACGTCTTCTAGTATTGAACCATCCTGTATATATTCCTAGCATGTGACAATTAACACCGAGAGTTAAAAGAAGCTAAAATTTTAATATTATTCTACGTGATAGCGTCTTTCTTAATAATAGTTGGCAGTAAATAAAAGAATGTGAAATAAAGTAATATACGTTGGAATAAATAATGAAAAAAATTATATTAACTAATAACTGAAAAGAAACAAAATCGGCGCATTTTCTTAATTTCTGTAGCATGAAGTACTTACGTTATCTCTTGAAAGTAGTTTGGCGTATGCAAAATGGGGATTCCATTTGGGCTGCATTATAACAAAGTTCATAATAAATGATCTGGCTTTATTTTTACACGAAAACAATTTAAAAAAATAAAATAATAAATCAGTGATAATTTCGAAATAAAGAATGAGCCGATTTTTTGAAAAATTATACGAACATTGAAAGAAAAAAATTGAAATAAAAATGCTGTTTCGTAATTACCAAATGCTGTTGTGAGAAGTTGCTTCCTCGGAACACTCTTTTGTCGAACATAACATTGGAATAATTTATTTCCCTGTAAACAATAAATAATAATTATAAATTATTAAAATAATAACTGTTTAGGTTAAATTCACTCAGATGCAAAAAAAACGCAACGGAGAAATTTTTGGTCAAATTTAGAGTATTATATTTTTGTTATTTTTAGCTCTATTTTCATGAATTTTTTAGCAAGTTGTATATAATTATATCAACTTTAATTCGTAAACTCGGTTTTTTATGAACTTTAATATTTGGCATATTACACAGGGTTAAACGAGAGGTTGTTTTTTTACCTTAACTTTAAAACGCCCTGTGCAATAATTTCGTGTGTAAATTTTCACAAAATATAATTTTACGGTCAGAACCATGTCTCTTGAGCAGTTTGTTTTTTTGATCATGGCAATATATCCCTTGGTGAATTTTTAAGAGCGAAATGAACTTGCCACCAACAATTTGCAATTTTTTCAATTATTATTTCTTTTTGAATATGACAAGGCCGCTTTGGTGATTATTGTGAAGTATATACTATATGAATATTATCTATTATGAACTGCCCATCATGTTCGATGTTGGGAAAATGTTTGGCGGGAGGTTTAGAGGTCGCGAAGCGGTACCAGCTTCATTAAATGAACTTCGCGTGGTCCTTAAAGAAGAATGGGAAAGCATAACTCAATATGATATATGCAGCCTCAATGACAGTATGAACGGACCGGACGTATACAGGCAGTTGTAGCATCCAAGGGAGGGAATTATTCAAAGTATTAAGGTATTTTTTACAATTTTTTTCTGTTTGTATACTTGAGTATTACAGATGTTTTCTTAATACCGTTAGTTCTGTGATCGTTATGAATGTTTATTAAAACCAGGACTGTATCGTTAGTCTTTAACGTTTTCTTTTAAATTTATTATAAAGTATCAGCAATGCAGCGTAATGTGACGTTATGACAATGGTCACCAAAATCATCTCGCTATATTAAAAAATTACACCAAAAAGTAATGATAGTATAAGTAAAAAATTGCAAATTGTTGGTGGCAAGTTCATTTCGCTCTAGAAAATTAACCAAAGCATGTATTGACATGATCCAAAAAACAAAATGCTCAGAAGACATGGTTCTGACCGGAAAATTTTATTTTAAGAAAATTTACACACAAAATTATTGCACAGGGTGTTTTAAACTTAGGGTAAAAAACAACCCCTCGATTAATCCTGTATAATATGCCAAATACTAAAGTTTTTAAAAAACTGAGTTTACGAATTAAAGTTAATATATTTATATGCAGTTTGCTTATTTTCTAAAAAAATCATGAAAATAGGGCCAAAAATAACAAAAATACTTATAACACTTCAAATTTGACCAAAAATTTCTCTGTTGCGTTTTTTCTGCATCTGAGTGTAGATATATACTACCAATGAATGTATTAAAATATAGATATTAGCACGTTTATAGCATATCTTTTATCTACAAGGTGGCCCATGAGTTCAAGTGCATCGCATACTGCTTCAAGTAGTGTTCTATTCGCAGAATACTATGCTGAACCCAATTTTAAAACCGTAGCAATATACCGGGTGCGTCTCAAAAGTGGCTCACCCCTATAACTTTTTTTTCAGATAAAAAACCGGAAATGACTACAACTTTTTATTTTTAAATGGCACCTTCGGTATTTTTTTACTTTGTTCCGGAGAAAATGGCACTCTTTGAATAGAACGACATACCATATTTCAACTTTTGACGTTGTTGCTTAAAAAAATCGTATTTTAAATTTCAATCTAGAGTGCCATGGCTATGTTAAAAACACTAATTTTTAACTAAGGAGCGTTGGAAAAATAGATATGATTGTCTAATGTTTTTAGTGCCTTGTCCTGGCCGGTTAAAAGATGCCCAAATCGTATTTTTAAGCATATCTCAATTTTTTCAAATGGAACGAGGGTGGCTCATTAGCATAATTGAAAAAAGCATTTTTACGAATAATTTGCTATCACACACTATAATATTTCTAGTTAAATTGTCGTTATGAACTGTATGTTTTTTACATTTACAATTTGAAATAAACTATATGCGAGATGTGTTATTCTATTCAGAGTGTCATTTTCTATCGAATAAAGTAAAAAAAATACCGAGGGTGCCATTTAAAAATCAAAAGTTGTAGTCATTTCCGGTGAAACAGAAAGTGACCGAAAACAATAATTGAATACGTCAATCATTCCTAATTTATGTGATATACAAACATACCATATTTGATTTTTTTATCTGAAAAAATAAAAATGTCATAGGGGTGAGCCACTTTTGAGACGCACCCTAATTTTCAAAAAAAATTCTAACGACATCTTGACAAAATGGCGAATGCTTTATTATAAATTTGATTTAATAATTTATTTTCTTGTCGTATTTCGATTCTTTGTCAAAGGCAAAGGCTTCCCTATGGCTCTTTGATACTGTAAATTGATTATTGTTAATAAATAATATATTTAATTCAGTACCTTATCAACGATCTATTAATAAACGAGACGGTAGGAAAATACATTGAAGAAGTAACATTTATTTTTGATGGGCTTGTTGCTAAGTATATAATAAGTACGTCTAGGTATTTTCCAACTATTTTTAAATAGTTATGTATTTAATACAGGTACATATTTCTTTATTTATAAAATGTATTTATTTACCAGTAACATGCTAGTTTTTTTAAAATTAAAAATGCTATTTTTTGTGAAAATAATATAGAATTTAGTAATTTCATTTATTCTTCTATAATGAGAGAACTACCCAAATAATATACCTCATCAATCTTTTATCATCTGATTTTGGTAAGCTAAAGCATCAGGAATACCATCTACGAATACCAATAAAAGAAAAATTAGCAGACTCTGTATCTATTTTTGTTCGATTTATTTGGTTTGTTTAAATGTCATTTGAAAAAATTTGGTTGAAACTGATTATACAGGGTGAGTCTTAAATAAGTGCAAATATTTTCAGTGCTGGTAGATTTCGATAAAAGAAACATATTTTCTGTTTACCGTATTTCCAGTCCGAAATAACCGAGTTATTTTACATTGAAAATTTCCCAAAAAATGAGTTTTTGGTTAAATTTTGAGAACCACTAGATCTTTTCTGGGTTTTCTTCCTTGTAAAATATTTGCACTTTTTTAAGACTCACCCTGTACAATCGGATTCATCTCACCGTAAGAAATAAGAATCGATCATTAAATTATTTTTGCCTAACAGTGGATTTATCACGTTTTGCTCTCGGTTTTGTCTAATCGCATCTCTATATATTACATTTGAAGAAATTTGCTCCAAATTTTCCATTGAATGGAGAAAATTTTATATTTTATTTACAACCACATATGTAATACTGACATTACTGCCTTTTAAAAAAATTTGAAAGTGTCAAATTACCATGAAAAAAGCCTTACTTTAATAGGAAGGAATTATTGAGGTACTTTCGTGAGAAAATCCTCCAAGTTTTGCCTGGTAAAAATGCTAAACTTCTTTGGCTTAAAACCTACATTCTAGAGTTTTAAAAAAGCGACGAGTTTGTGATATTTTGATATGTCAGTCTTTTCCCTTAATTCTAGCACTGTCCGTATCATGCTGTACGTAGCCCAAAAAGTAGATGGCTTTTTCTGCCTTGCCATGTCGCTAAAATATGCCATCAAAATTGTCTCCGAAACAATATTCTTAGAATTTCTTTCGGCACACCATTTTTCGTATACTTTCAATGCTATTTCATATCGCCCCCTACTTTTCTCTGGAAGTAAACTGGCTTCTGCTCTTTTTGCAGCTTCTGTAAGTTCTGGTGGAGTACCAATATTAAAGTAGTCTTCATTATCAGAACTTTCCGACAACATTCTGGCTTTCTATGTTATATAAATTCGAAAAAGCGAACGAGAAATTCAAACCTGTCACTTAGTTGTTTGTTTTGCTGTTGAAGATTTGCGCCATTACAACCACTGGTACCGGTAATTATAGATATGGAAATGCCAAAACAGAAAACGACAAATTTTCCCATATTTATTTTTTTTCAAAATAAAATACTGTCCCTATTTTATAATTAATAATGTGGTTGTAAATAAAACAGTATACAAACCTCCGAGGAAAGTTTTCATTATTGTTTCGAGATTTAGTTAATCTCTCGACAGTAATGAAACACTTCCCCCCTCGGTATGTAATATACTATTACATGGCGTATTTACTTTATTCGCTCAATAGTCGCCGTCCAGGTCACGTCTGAAATAATTATGAGAGGACATTAGACATTAATACGGGTTAAAATTGGTACCGTTTCGACTGCAGTTTCGATTTCTGTCGTGACCAACTACCACTGCAAGTTCCTCAAACTAGGTTAGTTCAATTACTTTCGGGCTAATGATAGACGTAAACTCTGCCGATGTTCCAGATTTTAAATTTTAATGACGACTTTCTGTCGGATGTCAATACGATAAGACGTAAACAATTCTGTTCTGATTTTTATTTACAAAATTTTGTGACATATTTTTTTTCTGGGTTGTGATATTCTACCCATATAGACATTTAGGTACACTCATGTGTTTTGACCCAACATATACAAGAAAAATGTAAACAAACCGTTTGTTTTCAGATTATTAATCCTTACAAATTATAATCCAATACAATTTTCGAAGACAGTTGTCTCAACAAGAATACCTTGCCAAGTTGGTTTCTGTTTTCAACAATAAAGCACCACATTAGTCTACAATTTCTCGTTGGTATGGAGAATGTAGACGTGGATGGCTTAGTCTTAGCGACGATCCAAGGAAAGGTTCACCAACTACGGTAGTCACCCAGGAAAACGTCGATGCTGTTTGTAAGCTGATCCAAGAAGATCGACATATCACATATCGTGAAATTGAAGCATCACTGGGCATCTCAAAGACAACAATTCAACAAATTTTATATGAAGAAATATCTGTAAAAATTAGTTTCTCGTTGGATACCGCATCTGTTGATGGAAGAACAGAAAGCAATTAGAGTCAATTGTTGTTAAACATTTCTACACCTGTTTAACGCAGGAAACTCA